CTTGTCTTGTTCCAGTTCTTAGGGGGATTGCGTTCAACTTTTCCCCATTCAGTATGATGTTAGCTATGGGTTTGTCGTATATGACTTTTATTATTTTGAGATATATTTCTTCTATGCCTAGTTTGTTGAGAGTTTTTATCATGAAGGGATGCTGGATTTCATCAAATGTTTTTTCTGTATCTATTGAGATGATCATATGGTTTTTGTCCTTTATTTTGATGTGATATTGCCTCTTTTATTGATTTGTATATGCTTAACTATTCTTGCATCCCTGGGATAAATCCCACTTGATTGTGGTGTATTACCTTTTTGATACGGATTTGGTTAGGTAGTATTTTGTTGAGGATTCTTGCATCTGTGTTCATCAGGGATGTTTGCCTGTGGTTTTCTGTTTTTGTCGCATCCCTGTCAGGTTTTGGTATCAAAGTGTGCTGGCCTTATAGATGAGTTAGGAAGAATTTCCTTCTCTCCAGTTTTTTGGAATAGTTTGAAAAGAATTGGTATAAATTCTTTATAAGTTTGGTAAAATTCAGCGGTGAACCCATCTGGTCCTGGGTTTTTCTTTGTTGGGAGACTTGATTACTAATTTAGTCTTGCTACTTGTTATTGATCTGTTCAGGTTTTCTGTTTCTTCCTGGTTCAATCTTGGGAGGTTGTATATTTCCAGGAATTTATCCATTTCCTTTAGGTTTCTGGCTTGTGAGCATATAGTTGTTCTTAATAGTCTCTGATGATCTTTTGTATTATTTCTGTGGTAGCAGTTGTAATGCTTCCTTTTTCATTTCTGAATTTGCTTATTTGAGTCTTATTTCTTCTTGGTTAGTCTAGTGGTTTATCAATTTTGTTTATCTTTTTGAAGAACAGACATTTTGTTTTGTTGATCCTTTTTTGTTAAGTGTTTCATTTAGTTCTGTTCTGATCTTTGTAATTTCTTTTGCTAATTTTGGGTTTGGTTCTTCAATTGTATTTTGTTAGATTGTTAATTTTTAATCTTTATACTTTTTGATATAAGCATTTAATGCTATAAACTCAACCTCTTAGCACAGCTTTTGTTGTATCCTACATGTTTTGGTATATTGTGTTTGTTTTTCGTTTGTTTCAGAAATTTTTTTTATTTTGTCTTACTTTCTTTGTTGACTCGGTGGTCATTCAAGAGCATGTAGTTTAATTTCTATGTATTTGTATAGTTTCCAGAGTTCCTCTTGGTAATGATTTCTAGTTTTATTCCCCTGTTATCTGAAAAGAGACTTGATAATAATTTCGAATTTTTAAAAAATTTGTTGAGACTTGTTTTGTATCCTAACATGGTCTATCTTGGAGAATGTTTCATATGCTGATAAAAAGAATGTATATTCTGCAGTTGTTGGGTAGAATGTTCTGTAAATGTCATTTAGGTTCATTTGATCTAAAGTCTAGTTTGCAAATAATGTTTCCTTGTTTGATTTCCTATGTAGATGATACATCTCACGCTATGAATGGAGTATTGAAGTTCCCCCCTATTATTGTATTGCTTTCTCTCTCCTTTCTCTTTCACACCCCTTTACCTGTGCTCTGTATGTGTCTTTACAGTTAAGGTGAGTTCCTTGTAGGCAGCGTATATTTAATAGTTGGGTCATTTTTAAAAATCCATTCAGCCAATCTGCATCTTTTAAGTGGAGTATTTAATCCATTTATGTTCAAGGTTAATATTATTATGTGAGGTTCCATTCTTATTAATTATTTTCTAGTTTTAAAAATTGTTTCTTTTTTCTCTTACTGTTTATCATTGTGGTTCAGTGGAATTCTGTAGTGGTGCCATTTCAGTTCTTCTCTTCCTCCTTTGTGGTGATTTCTTTACCAGTAAGTTTTATACTTTCGTCTGTTTTCATGACGGGAAGTGTCATCCTTTTGCTGCAAAGTTTAGGACTTCCTGGATGATTTCTTATAGGGCCAATGTAGTGGTGACAAATTCCTCAGCATTTGCTTATTCAGGTAAGACTTGATTTGTCGTACATTTATTCATATATAGAATTCTTAGTTGAAAGAGTTTGGTGGGTGTTTTTTTCCAGTACTTTTAATATGTCATCCCATTTTTTTCTAGCCTATAATGTTTCTGTTTAGAAGTCCACTGTAGTCTTACGGGATTTCCTTTATAGGTGACTGGACATTTAGTGTTTTTACAGTTCGCTCTTTCACTTTGACTAGACGGTCTGATTATAATGTGCCATGGCAAAGTCCTTTGCACATTTTATCTGCCTGAGGATCTCTGAGCCTCCTGAATCTGGATGTCTAACTCTCTTGATAGACTTAGGAAGTTTTTGCCTATTATTTCATTAAATAATAAAAGTTTCCTAAACCTTTTGTTCTCTTTTCACCCTCAGTAACACTGATAATTCATTCATAAATTTGGTCATTTTATGTTGTCCCAAAAGTCTTAAAAGCTTTATTCTTTTTTATTCGTTTTTTCTTGGTCTGAACGGTACAGTACATCTGTTAGGATTCAAGCTAAACGTTCTTCACGCATATACCATGACACTGTTATCTTTAATTCTATAAAGTAGTCTTTCACAAACCAGTATTACGGTTAAGAACTTCTAATGTACTGAAAGCTATTGATTTAGTTGGGTTTTAAGTTGACTTTCTCGTTAATTAAGTGAACCATAACAAAGAGTTAAATTTATCAAGATTAATACGGATGTTTTCAGCATGTTGCTTTTATTTGATTTTTGTTGTGTCTTCACATTACACACAATTTTATTGGATTTTATTACACTTGGCTTTTTAATTTGTTTTCTTTTTTTTTAAATATGTGACAAGTTTTCTTAGAGTAAAATGAAATAAATTATGTTTTGTAATTTATTCAGTTTGAATAAATTGAAGCTTTTCTTATCCCAGGAACAGAAGACTCTTTCTTTGTTCAGTTCTATTAATTCTTAACCCGCTTTCACCATGTGCTCATGAAAACTATTTAATCAATCAGTGGGCTAGAGAGATCAGTCTTACTCAATAAAGCTAGAATTTACTTAAACTACATTGATATCCCATAGAGGATTCTTTAAGCTTAGAAGTTTTGTTAGGGTGATACAAAGATGTACAAAGATGTAAAACAGACAACATGGGAAAATATATTTACCACTTATGTTGTAGATGAAGAGTTATTATCTGTTGATATATTAAGAGTTCTTGTCGATGAATAAGTTGAACACCCCAATAAGAAAAATAGTAGCTTACACACACTTACGTGTTTATGCATGTTTGTTTATAGAATAAAAAGCTAACCAGTGATTGTCCCTGAACAACAGAGAAAATTTTATTTGTACTTTTTACATTTTTATATAATTTCATAAGCATTGCTTTTTTAGGCAGAAAAATTTTAAAGTAATAAAAATAATTCCATTAAAAACCAGAAGTTTTGCTGAGCATGTAATTTTATTAGATAAGGTTATTTTAGGGTGGTCGCATCAACAAACCTAAACTGTTGATCTGTATAATTCATGGCTGCCCTTGTGGGTGCTTCTCTAAAAATCTATTAGTCTACATGAGTTCAGTATTTAAAACAAACAAACATTATGGGGGGAAAAAGAGGAGCCTGCTGTTTAGAAACTTGAAATGGTAAAGAGACGTGAAACATTGGCTCATATAAAAATGGTAAATTCCAAGTGCTCTGCTAAGACCCACTGTTTGAGAGTGCCTTAAACATTGTACAGGAAGTTGAATCTTATATTGTGATAAGTTAATGCTTTTAAGTTTAAATACATTTCATAAGTCTTACTAAACTGATGTTATTTTCCACATAGATTTCCAGCACCTATCTAGAGAGCAATTGGCCTATACGGGTGAGTTGTTATTTTGTTGGTGTTAACTTTCATTGGATTTATAGCAAGAGGCATTTTAGCCAGAGCCCCTCAATGGTTGTAACTGATAAGAGTAAAATTTTAGCATTTGATCCATTATGCATTGTTAGTACATTAACATTTATAATTTTGTCAAATATAACTGTATAAATATTTGGATTTTTAAATTTAGCATCTTATATTTAATTCACTTAGGAAACATTTGTCAGTAGTCTGTTTGCCTGACACTGTACCAAGCTCTTTATAACTAATAAAGTGTATAGGTTTGCAAGGAAGAATTCTTAATTTTTTTTTTCTTTTAACAGTTTTCAGCTATTGATAAGCTTGGACAGAACATTGCTGTGGTTGGCAAGTTTGGTTTTGCACATTATTCATTACTCACCAAAAAATGGAAACTTTTCGGAAATATCACCCAGGTTAGTCTTTTTTTAAATTAATAACTTACTGTATTTCTTAAAGTATAAGAGAAATACAATGTGAAGTTAACTATAAAGTAAACCATTAGTTACTTATAAAAAATAAAACCAAATATAAAAAGTCATATTGGGTAATGTCTGAAAGTCAATTGTGATAAAGCACTTGATGTTTGATAAAGGATCTATGTTGAATAATTGGTTTGTTTTTAATTCTTGTTAAGATCAGTAACTATAATTCTTTAGCTTAAGGATTTACCCTTACATTCCAGGGTAGTTCATCAAATGTGATCAGAATAAATTTCCACAAAATTTGAGATCATTCCTTGTCTGTGTGTGATATATATATATTTGGGTAGTGCATATATATGTGTGTGTATGTATGTATGTATGTATGTATGCTTGCATGCAGTTGGATTTTGTAAGAATCAAATAGAAGAAAAATAAGGAAATTCACACTTAATAGTGCCTATTTTGTACCAGGTACTTAAAGGTGCTTTCATGTATATCATCTCATTCATCTTCATAACAATCCAGTGAGGGCATTATTGTTACCATTTGATCAAAGAAAAACTAGGATCCAGAATCATTCGTCTGACAAATGATAAAGCCCAGAATTTAAACAAAGGTCTATTGGATGTGGGAATGACGATACTTTATAATACCCAGTTATTTTGAATGAGGTATTTGCTTCCTTACAGAAATATTTATTTTTAAAAATAGGATATGAATTATTATTAATAGAGACCCTAGAGTAATAATTGGGGGTGAATGAGTAGAGCAGAAATAATTTGAGCTCTCATTGTCTGCCTAAGAATATTTCATAAATGTATTACTTTCTTATAATTTCTGATAATAGAATTAAGGTAAATATTTTTTTTATTTTCTTAAGGAGCAAAATATGATTGTGACAGGTGGCTTAGCCTGGTGGAATGATTTTATAGTCCTTGCATGTTATAACATAAATGACCGTCAAGAAGAGGTAAGTTTTTTTCCCTCTCAGAAATAATAGATTTTTAAAGCTATTAAGAACATTTTATTTTATATAGAAAATAGTCTATTGAAAACTGAACAAAACATTTTATTTTTTTAATCAAGAATTTAGCATTTTTTAGCTAATAGGATTTTCTATTCAGGTTATTACTTTTTTTTTAATTTTTGGAGTGACAGTTGGGAGTTCCAAGATAACCTTTTCTAAGGGTTTTAGCTGTTAGACATTCTCTATGAAGTTTGAAAATAAAGACAGTTAAAAGCAAAAAAGTTTATAAGACTGGCTGTCCTTAGAGATAAATTTATTAATTTATCGATTTAGACTAGTCCCCCCTTATCAACAGGGAATATGTTCCAAGCCTCTCAGTGGATGCCTGCTACTAAGGACAGTACCAAACCCTGTACATACCGTTTTTTCCTATACATTTATACCTATGGTAAAGTTTAATTTGAAGTTAGGCACAGTAAGACATTAACAACAATAACTAAATAGAACAGTTATAACAATATACCATATTAAATATATGAATGTGATCTTTCTCAAAATACTGTATTGTACTCACCTATTTTTGGACGGTGGTTGACAACAGGTAACTGAAACCTTGGAAAGCAAAACCATGGATAAGACAGAACTATTGGATATGCTTTTTTTGTTTGTCCTGGAAAACTGCTGATCTCATTGTATCAGTTGTAAATATGCAGGTCTAAAAGGAGTATCTCATAATAGTGCATTCAGTTTTGATCACTTCAATTTTTGGTTATTTGTAGAATGAGCCTCGTTTTCCAAAATAAAAATATAATCCATTTATTGTTAAAGCTTAAATGGGTCTTTTAACTCCTATTACTTGGGGAAAGAAATCAGTAGATTAAAAAAACAGCATGTTATCTGGGTGTGGTGAATCATGTCTGTAATCCCAGAACTTTGGGAGGCTGAGGTGGGAGGATCACTTGGGGCCAGAAGTTCCAGGCTGGCCTGGGCAGCATAGCGAGGCTCAGTCTCTGCAAAAAAATTTAAAAATTAGTCAAGCATGGTGGTACACACCTGTAGTCCCAGCTACTTGGGAGGCTGATTGGGCGGTGGGGGGGATCACTTGAGCTTATGAGGTCAAGGTTACAGTGAGCTGTGATCACCCTACTGCATTCTAGCTTGGGTGACAGAGCAAGACCCTGTCTCAAAAGGGGGGAGCCGTATCTAAAGTATTAGGTCATCCCTGGTAGTCATCTCATTTTTATAATTTTCTTTATTTTTATTTTCTTCAGCTCAGAGTATACTTGCGAACATCTAATCTGGACAATGCCTTTGCTCATGTCACCAAAGCACAAGCAGAAACATTACTGCTTAGTGTGTTCCGGGACATGGTAATAGTATTTAGAGCAGACTGTTCAATATGCCTTTACAGTATTGAAAAAAAATCTGATGGGTAAGTATATAGCTTATGGGAAGTCACCTTTTGCTTCTATTTGTCATGTTTCTTTTCTGCAGTTTCTGTTTTCTTAGAAGTTATTTCACCTTTATATTTAGTTTCATTTTTTTAAGTGAAAAAAGTAGAATTTAAATTAGTAATATTCATGTAATAGCTGCGAAAAAAGAATAAAGAAATAGCCTAACCTAACTACTTCTGCTAATCTTCTTGGATTCATTTGGAAAAAAATCTACTTTGGGATGAGGTAAACCCTTAGATACTAAATTTTTTTTTACAACCTTAAAAATAAATGGTTATTGACTATCCTAGTGTTCCAGACACTTGGGGAAATTTGAAGTAGTTCTATAGCTTTAAGGTCTTAGGAAGCATGTCCTTTGCAGACTGACTGCTCTTTCCAGTGAGCTAGATGGCTATAGTCTGGGGCAGGAAAAACAAGCAATCTTGTTGCTGGTACGTGTTGCGTTACATTCTTCTTGGCATCTGGTCAGGTGGCAGCATTTAGACCACACTTCTTGAGTTTTATTTTGTTTTCATGAGGTTTTTCATTTGTTTAAATAGCCATGAAGTATATATTTGCTGAAATAGTACAGTGATTGGGGAGTAATGCAAAGATAAAAATTAAGAGATCTTACCAGCCTCAGTGATTGAACCTTCATCCTTTCTCAACCACCTAGTTTTTTCACCTTAAATATTTCTATTATATCTTCTTTCCTAATTTTTTCCTTCCCTCCTACATTTTATTCCATTTCTTTCTCTCTCATCCTCATATATGTTCTTTAGAGTCCCTCAACCTTGCCAATCTCCTGATGAAAGGATATTTGGGGAGGAAAGAACAATGGGTAGAACACATTGTGTCTTTTGTAAGCATGAAATCTAATATTGTCAATAGCAAGAAAAGAAAAAAAAATGTTGTTAGCATTGTTGTTGAAGTATGTGGGTTTCTTTTGTTTTTACAGTCTGAATACTACTGCCGGTATTCAAGTTCTTCAGGAGGTCTCCATGTCACGCTACATTCCTCACCCTTTTCTGGTAGTATCTGTCACTCTGACGTCAGTGAGTACAGAGAATGGAATTACCCTGAAAATGCCACAGCAGGTACCATTCCATCATTAGAGTTCTTTGGAATTTACATCTCAATTTTTAGTGGTTTAAGTTGATTTTAGGAACTATTTATCTGTTCAGCAAATAAATACTAAGTGTGTAGAATGTATCTACTTTGAAAATACTGGGTGGTGGCAGCAAACTAAATAGACATGGTTTCTGCTCTGACATTAAACAAATAATTACCTATATAATTAATTGTTCTTGTGATGTATGTACCAAAAAGTAGTATCACAGGTTACTGTGAGAGCATATAGCAAAAACCTGTTATAGTCTGAACAATCAGATTTCTGTACCCTTTAAATTGAAAACTGGAGAACAAGTAGAGGTTATCTAAGTAAAGAGGGAGAATTTCAAGCAGAGGGAACAGTAGTGCAAAAGCCCATATAGACAAGAGAGAACACGACACACTCAGGGAATTGGAAGAATTTCAGAGGGACTGGAAGGTAGAATGTGAGAGAGGACATGAGTCTTACAGATAATAACTTTAGACTTCAACTTCAAGTCTAAAGTGTTTTGGGGGAGGTATCACATCTAAGCTTTATTATGTTTACTCTGACTGTAAGGAGGAAATGAACTGAAGTAGAATGAAACTGCATGTAGGGAGAGCAGCTGGGAGGACATTGTAATGATCTAGATGAATGGACTTAGTGGCCTGAACTTGGGCAGTGAAAAAGGACATGGAAAGAAGTAGAACAAACATAAAATACAGAGGATTCCGTGATCAGTTAATTATGAGGAAAGAGAGAAAGTATAATCCCATATTTTCCGGGTGAAGTAACTGGGTATGTAGTAGTGCCACCATGACTCGGGTTGCATAACTTCTATTTCGGTGTCCCTTCCATTATACCAGTGGTTTCCAAACTTAATGTCAACTGGGAATCCATTGTCAGAGGAAAATTCTGTGCAGATTCTTTGTTATCCCTGTCTGTCCAGTCTGTCTTTTACTTCCTGTTGAGGCACTTCCATTGAACCTCAACACTCCAAACAGTAGTAAGAAAACAGTGCCCTAGACTATACAGTTATTGGAATTCAGCTACTTCTTAAGAGAGCCCCTTCCTCTACAGTTGTAATTGTTATGAGCTATTTTATTTATATGGTTCTGAAATCTGATTTGTAACAGTCCTAATTTTCTCACTTTTTGGAATAAGAAATAATAAAAGCTGTTCCCTTTTCCTCATGATAACCTGAAGTATTTATAGACAGTTATCATTCCTTGGCTTCCCTTTCTCTCCTCACATTTTTCTCTGTGCCTTCTCATCTGCATGTTAAATATTCCCATATCTCCAACTGTCTGATGTGATACTCTCTCTAGACCCCTTAACCATCCTTCTTGGTCTCCCTTCTGTAGATAAACTTGTAATTTGCTTTTTCCTTTAAAATATAGCCCCCATTTTCTCTGAAAATTATATTTCATGGTAACCAGATGGTCCTAGCTGATAAGGAAAAGTTCTGTTTTACAGAAGAATTCTAGCTAAAAGATGTGAAAGAAATGTGAGAATTTAAAAATCACTATTTTGCAGCCCTGAGGAAATAACTGATTTAGACAGTGTTCATTATTGTATGAAACTTTGCAATGAAGGGATCAGGTTGTCATACCCAAGTTTTGTTAATCAATATTAGTTAGCGTCACTGAAAGTGGGAAAAACAGATATGGTATTCTTTCTTAGGTGATTTAACATGAAGTTCACATGAAGAACTGTTGCCAAAAACATTGACCCGAAATCAAATTGAGTGTCTAGATAGAGTCATCTTCCATTCAAAGGAAATAAAGATAGATACTTAGTCTAATTTGCACCACAAGGAAGCATGATGCAGGGCATTCTATAGGATAGCTATAAGTCAATAAGGTTGGGTGTGGGGGGTAGAGACTCTTCTAGATTAAATAAGACTTTAGAGCCATAACAACCAAATGTAATAGATAGGCTCATTTGAGGGGTGAATGTGACAGTTGCTGTCCTGCAGAACCGAGTCTGTAAGCTCATTTGTATCCTCATTCAAACCAACTATAAAAAGACACTGTTGCAACAATTGGGAAATTTAAATATGAATTGAGAGATAACACCAAGGAGTAACTATAAATTTTATTAGATGTGATACTGGCATTGTGGTTATGTATGCAGATGTCCATATATTCAGGAGTGCATATTAAACATACATAGGTAAAATGGCAGGATATCGTGCTTTAAAATGCTCTGGCAAAATTTAAAAAAAGAAACAAGGGATAGATGGAGCAAATACGGCAAACTCTTAATAATCGTAAATCTAGATAATGGGAATATGGGACTTCATTGTACTATTTTTCATGCTTTGGTCATGTTTGAAGTTTTCATATTAGGAAAAAAGGGACTCTTTGTATGTTCCAGATGGAGTGAGCAATCACTGGCATCAGTGGTACGGGTACCCCATTTTGAAAGGGACTTTCACAAAGAGGAGGTAGTTAACTTGGTGAAGAGCAGATGAATAAGTAAATTGAAATAAAATAGGAAATAGAATGATTACATCTGCTATAGAGGAAAAACCAAGAATGCCACAGCAAAGCAAGTTTTGATTTAATATTAAAGATCTTTTAAAGTAGTGATAACAGTGAGAACCGTTCAACAGCAGAATAGCCTCACCACAAGAGAGTGAGCTCCTTGTTCCTAAAACTCCCACGGAGAATCATCTGCCAGAGATTTTTTTAGGGTAAGAGGATAGTGTTTTGGGTTCCTTCAGATTTAGGAATTTGAGCATACAGATAGCTCCTGCTTTTCTTGAACACTTTATTAAAGTTGCCTGAGACTGATATTGCAGTCACCTATAATATTATCAGTAGAAAATGTTGAATGAGTAGTTAACAATAATATCCACTCAATGAAGAAGAGAAGTGTTTTTTTTAATGTAGTGTGAAATGTAGTGCTGAAATCCACCATCTTAAAACTTAAGCTGGTCATTAGTCACGTTGTGGTGAATTGCAGTAAGTGCTTTTAACGATCTTTTGAAATGTTTGAGGAGTCTGTCCCTGTGCCAATCCCCAGTCATACCATTTTGATTCATGTGTTTGCATGCTTGTTTTTCTTTTTCTGCTGCTGTGTAGCTATGTTTACTGTTATCTGGCTTCCTGATACAATTCCCATATACCTTTTAAATGCCATTTTTCCTTCTCATACCGCCAAGTTATTGGCTATTTTTCATATGTTATCAGGAGATACCCAAATTCGTAGTTTTGTTATTTCTTTATACACAATCCCTTCTAGAATCTGAAAGCAGTAAGCAAGAGCATTTTCTATTGCTATTTTGCAGCTAAAATGTATAGGGTGGTTGCTGTTTTTTTGACTGGACCTTAAGTGATATTGGCAGCTTAAATTCAGCCAGCAAGCATCAAAGCCTGGGACACAGTCCCACAGCTTTTGAATAGTCCTCCTTCCTGAAATTCTTTCCATTTTTGGTTTATGTGGCATTGTGCTTCCCCATTTCTCTTCTTACTTTCAAAAGTTCAGGTGATGGCCCTCTGTTCTTTCCCTATGTCTACTGTGCCTCAGAAAACTTATCTATTTCCTTCAGTTTACCAACCTCACCTTGATGTTCTGATGCCAGCATATTCATCCCTGGTTCATTTTTACTTGAAAGTCTATTTTTTCAAATTAATAGGAAAGAAAAAGAACTCTGGTTTTTCCCTTCCCTAATTCCTCTTCCTAACTTCTATCAGTGATAACCTTAACTTCTCTAGCACCTCACCTAAATTCAATGCCTTAATCATCTTTGGTTTAGCTTCTTTTTCTACCTTTCATGTCTAGAATAGCAGTACATTCTTTTTTTTTTTTTTTTTAATCAAAATGATTTTCCTCTTTCCGAGTGAAAATGACTTGATACCTGAGATTCATTTTAACTCAGTGCTTCTCAAACTTTAATGTACACAATTGTTTAAGCTGAGTCATAGGGTTTAATAGGAAATCATTATAGTTGGCTCTCTACTCTGGGGTTTGATTGAAATTTTCCGTAATAAAAAGATAGACTATTTTCTCATTCCTGAAATCAATACCCATGAAGTCTTCCTCTCCTCAGCAATCCATCTTGATTAATTCTGATTTTTTAATAACTTTCTTATTCAAGAACCATAAATAGTGGCTTATTTCCTGCTCTTCTTTTACCTGGCTTTCCAAGTCCTCCTTGAAGGTCTGTTACCATGCAGCTTTATTGTCATAATATCTGTAGTGTAGCCACATTGTTCTCACTTTCCTAATAGAACTATTCTGTCGTAGCTCCACGTCTTTATTTACATTTCATACTTCAGCCAACCCTTACTCTTCTACCCACGATGTCTTCCTCATCTTTCAAGTTCCACGTCATCCTTTTCAACTTTTTCTAGCTCTGCCAGCAAGATCACTAACATGATATCTCATATTTATGAACTTCTAGAGTTCACTTAGTTTTTCGAAGATAATTCAGTTCTGCCCTCAATTTTATGTCACTGGTATTGTTCATTTATCCATTAATCACATTATATGTTAAGCTTTTTACCACCGTAGCCAGAAAGCTCCTTGTATTCCCACAGAGCCTAGCAGAATGGCTGTACCTAATACAACCTCAATAAATATTGTTGTTTAACCTGTAAACCTTATGAATTGGGGGGAAATGCTGAAAATATACCTATACATTAGTATGAATCTAATTTCTTTTTCTTAAATTCCAGGCTCGTGATGCAGAGAGCATTATGTTAAACCTTGCTGGACAGCTCATCATGATGCAGAGGGACAGGTCAGGCCCTCAGATCCGGGAGAAGGACAGTAACCCTAACCAGAGGAAACTTGTGAGTAAAGTGCAAGTCATTTTGAACATTAAGAAGGTATGGGATTAGGATGAAGGAATAAAAGAATTTAAGAGGATAATATTGTCTTGTGATTTGGAAACTGAGAAAGGTACATGAAGTTAGTCTTAAGCCTCTGATTGTAAGACTATTTGTGAAGTGAAGGATAAGGTCCTGAAATGGTAATCAGCATTTCTGTATTTCAAGTGTTATTGCTTAGACATTAGTTGCAAATTCTAACAGGAAAAAAAAGATAGACTGGTGAAGTTCATGGGATTTTTGTTTTTGTTTTTAGATTCAAATGGTACATATGTTGAAAGGCAGGGTACTGTTATTAACGCTAATTTTATATAGATCTCCTTGCTTTTCTCAAAAAGTTGTGTTATCATTTTGAAAGACTTTGTAAACTAGTACCTAGGAACTTAAGAACCTACTTTAATAGGAGAAAAACCTGATTCTTTTCTCCCCCTCTCTAGCTGCCATTCTGTCCTCCGGTTGTACTCGCCCAGTCTGTTGAAAATGTCTGGACTACGTGTCGAGCAAATAAACAAAAACGTCACCTTCTGGAGGCCCTCTGGCTGAGCTGTGGTGGTGCAGGGATGAAAGTCTGGCTCCCTCTCTTCCCTAGGGATCACCGCAAGCCCCATTCCTTCTTGTCCCAGCGGATCATGCTGCCATTCCACATCAATATTTACCCCCTGGCTGTTCTGTTTGAAGATGCATTAGTCCTTGGTGCTGTCAATGACACTTTACTCTATGATTCTTTGTATACTCGGAACAATGCTAGGGAACAGCTAGAGGTGCTCTTCCCTTTCTGTGTTGTGGAGAGAACTTCTCAGATCTACCTCCACCACATTCTACGTCAGCTTCTGGTCAGAAACCTCGGGGAGCAAGCCTTGCTCTTGGCCCAGTCCTGTGCCGCATTACCTTACTTCCCTCATGTGCTGGAGCTCATGCTCCATGAAGTGCTTGAAGAAGAAGCTACCTCACGGGAGCCCATTCCCGACCCTCTCCTTCCCACTGTGGCAAAATTTATCACCGAGTTCCCCCTCTTCCTGCAGACAGTTGTCCATTGTGCCAGGAAGACTGAATATGCCCTGTGGAATTACCTTTTTGCAGCTGTTGGAAACCCCAAGGACTTGTTTGAGGAATGTTTGATGGCTCAGGATTTGGACACAGCTGCCTCTTACCTTATTATCTTACAGGTAACAGTTCTCTTCTTATAAAGGGACAGAATTAATGAGCTTAAACTTAGCGGGGGAAGTCCTGATTGAGTTTAAGGAATTAATTTGTCTTTCATTTTGAAGAACTCAGACTTGTAAAGGACCACAGATTCCTTGGAATGTCATAAAGTAACATTACAGGGGTATTTTATCCTATTTGTCCATAAATAGGCCTAAAACAGATTAGAGTTTAGAGTATTATTTTGAATAATATTGAAGAAATTTATTACAAGTATTGCAATACATATAATAATGAACATATTATATAAGAAACATAAGATTATTGAAATATTACATAGGAAACATAGTGAAGAAAGTATTATTTTGCATGTTAATGGGTTTGTCTGAGCTCCTCACAATAATAGATTTGTTCCCTTACAGTGTGGAATTGCTGAGCACCTTATACTAGGTTCCCCAAAGCAAGCTGAGAAGGCGGCTCAGGTCTGCTACAGAAATGACCCTCACAGTACATGATTTTTCTCAAAATAATGGGTTCTTTGAGACTCGTGAAAATTTGTTTCATTATATATTTGACACAAAGGCTTGACAGTTCATTATTACTTTAAGTCTGATATGGATTTGATGGGCTACACTTGAGGTTCTTTCAAATTACTGCAAAGTTGTTTGCACTGATATAGGAAGCTAACCATAAACCTGGTTTGAATCTCTGCCTGAAGCACATTTCCTAGCAACTAACTTACTTCATGCCAACTGACTAAAACCAGAGGAAATGTTCAGGCAGAGGCTGGGTGGCCCTGAGATTCTATGATTCCATGGCTAGCCCATAAAAAAGCCATAGAATTATAAAAATAGAATCAAAATAAATGCAGCTATTTGTTGTTCTGGATCCCTCCTTAGACCTTCAGTGATCTCCCTTGCAATGGAATTCAAAACTATTTCTCCAGCAGAATTCCTAAATTGCTACAGACCGGCAAATAATAATGACAGTTAAACTTGTCTATTAGGCACCTTTCCATGAAGACCAAGATAGACAGTAAGTTTAAATTTGTGAAAGAACTGTTGAGGATTCTGAATGTATAGTGGTACTTACTACTTGCTATTGCCCAAAACAAAGAGTTTTAGTCACAGCCTCAGAAAACTCTGTGACAGGAGACAGAGCTGACCTTTTTGGGGGTCAAGCAAACCTAGATTTTTATTCTTGCTTTTCTGCTGATCTTCAGCAGTTTACTTAACTCAGTTTCCTCATCTGTAAAAGAGAAATGATATATCTATTTTGTAGAGTCCTTGGGAGAAATAAATGAAATAATGTATGTAAGGTGTATGTACAGTATCGCGTGTAGTGGGAGTTCAGTAAATCATAGTTTATATTATACCAGAAGAGTAGTTGGTTCATTTTTCTTTGTATAGTACTTTTCAATGTTTCTTTTAATCTTACTGTTAAACTAGTCCCTACAGTGTTGTGGCTGCTTTCCTTGGGGTTAAAGAACTGTGGAGATAAAAAATTGCTCATAGTATAGTATAAAAGGAATGCTATCTTCTTGGTTGTAGAATATGGAAGTCCCAGCAGTAAGTAGGCAACATGCCACCCTTCTGTTCAACACAGCACTAGAACAAGGCAAGTGGGACCTATGTCGACACATGATTCGATTTCTTAAAGCCATTGGCTCTGGAGAATCTGAGACACCTCCATCCACACCCACGGCTCAGGTTAGTTACAAAATTGTACAATTTTTGTAGGCCATACACCTACATGGCGTCTTTCTCTAACTGTACTGTTCATTGTATATAACCACAGGAACCCAGTTCAAGTGGTGGATTTGAGTTCTTCAGGAATCGAAGCATCAGTTTATCCCAGTCAGCTGAAAATGTTCTTCCTAGTAAATTCAACTTACAGAAAACACTAAGTATGCCGTCTGGTCCTTCTGGAAAAAGGTAAAAGAATGAAGAACCATTACTGGTTTTTTGGGATCTGTGACACAGTATGTTTTAGAGTATTTATAAAATTGGGTCTTATGTAAACAACTATTTAATCCAATTGCAATACCTTTTTCCATTCCTAAAGGCATAAAGACCACACAGAAGGCCTCCCTTTTTTCTCTCTCCTAAGTTCACTTCTTTCTATGTACTCTTTGTATAGTTTCTGCCCCTTTATCTAGAGTAGGTCTGGATGTACCTGTTCTGAATGCAACTAACTTTAAATTACCGCTGATGATAGAGGACCAGATTAAAAAGGAAGATAGATAAATCTGGATAATCCAAAAGCCTTCTCAAAGTCAATAGTTTTACCCTTCTTTCCAACTATACCTCTGACAAAAAATAAAAGTTAATGCTCATGCATTCAACTTTCCTGTGTCCTTTTTCTTTTAGAGAAGTCATCAAACAGTGGCAGAACCAAAAGGAATTGTATTCTGGAGACCGAAACCTCTATCACTCATAGATGGGTTATTGTCTCCTGAGAGAGAACTATGAACTCACACTAAATATTATAAAAACATTAAAATTTTCTCTAGCTTGTAAGGTATTCCTTCCTATGTTGTCACATGTTCTTGTTTTTTGTTTTTTTCTCTTACCAAATCCTTTCTATTATATCGTTTGTATTCTTACTACCATGTCTGGCACATAGTGAAAGCTTATTGAACATTTTTTATTGTGATGTTTTACTGCTTTCTCTTATCACTGGCCATTAACACCACCACCCAGCACATGCGTGCATACGTGTGCATACACACACACACACACACACACACTATTATGGGCTATGTACAAGTAAAATGTAAACAATTGCCAGGAAAACACTATCTTCTTAGCCATACCTTGAATTTAAAAATGGGCTTCAACCACTCGCCACCCTCTTCCTGCTCTGGTTCTTTTGTGCCCTTTTTTTTTTTTTCTCTATTCCATGTATTCATTCTATGAATACTTCTTAAGGGCCTACTGTGTTCCAGGTGTTCAACAGGTTGTGGTATCACACAGAGTAGTAGTCCTGGCTTTATCATCCTCTTCAGTCAGAATTAGATCTTGGATCTCTTACCTCCTTGTCAGCTTTGTCGGTGCTACTGTGTAAAAGTATGTGAAATCCCCCAGTAAAGACTATTCTGTAGCTTTCTTATGTTTCCACTTACAGGTGGAGCAAAGACAGTGACTGTGCTGAGAACATGTACATTGACATGATGCTCTGGAGACATGCTCGGCGCCTCTTAGAAGATGTGCGGTTAAAAGACCTTGGCTGCTTTGCAGCCCAGCTGGGCTTTGAACTAATTACTTGGCTATGCAAGGAACGTACCCGAGCTGCCCGGGTAGACAACTTTGTAATAGCCTTGAAGAGACTCCACAAAGATTTCCTGTGGCCACTTCCCATCATCCCATCCTCTTCTATCAGTTCTCCTTTCAAAAATGGAAAATACAGAATAGGTAATGTAGACTTTGTGTCACTTATCCAAGGAGAATTGTATTTTACTCCAAATATTTAGACATTTTGCTATTAGTTGATACTCAAGGAAGTCTTTTCATTCCAAACTCAGAAGCAGATAAAAGCCAACTCTTTGTGCCTTAGTTGGAACATCCACCATTTGATCAACTATGTAAATAAAGTAGAAGAACCTGTGTCTCTGTGTCTTGAAACCTTAAAGTCTAATTCACAAATCTAATCATTGTTACCTTAGATTATAAACAAGTTGAGAACTATCTGAATATAAGAGCTACTCATGCTTATTTTATTGCAGGAAGGAGTTTTGGAACCAGTTAGTTAGAAATGGACCTCAAAATAACCTAAATTGTGACTTACCAGACAGAACTTATTCTAGAGAATTATTAAAAATGTGTCTTTGACAACTTGGGCCATCTTCTAAATGGCCCAAGGAGAGGCCAAAGTGAAACTGTATTTTTTGGTGAAAGAAAAATTAAAAGATAAAGTTTTTCAGTTTTGATCTTTTTATGAAGACTGTTCTAATTATTATTTATGAAAATTTTAAACAAACTTTTTATTTAGGCATTTGGAAACTTCATGTCATCTAAGAACCAAGGCAAATCACTTAGAAGATCAACAGAATAAAGTTTTACCTAGTTCCAATAAGAGATATGATGATATTACTCTTAGATGGCATTATATGGTCAGTCTGTTGTGTTACAGTCCCACATCTCTAGTTTTAGGGTGGATGATAGTGTAGGACAGTAGTTGGCTTTGAATTATTAGTAGGGGGTGGGCAGGTGGGGGAGGCTAACACCTGAATTGGAAGTGGCGGTATGTGCATCTTGAATTTCTCCCCCCATTTTTTGGTTTTGGATCTACCCTGCAGTGGGAGAGCAGCTATTAAAGTCTCAGTCAGCAGACCCTTTTTTAAATCTTGAGATGGATATTGGCATCTCCGACATCCAGCGAAGTCAGAGCTGGCTCAGCAACATTGGCCCCACCCATCATGAGATAGACACACCTTCATCCCATGGACCACAAATGCAAGATGCCTTCCTGTCACCTTTATCTAATAAAGGTAAATGTCATTTTAAGTCCTAGCTTTCCTTCAGTTCCTTTGAAGAAAGTTTATATGCTATAGAACTTCAGAGACAAAGCTTCACTCTCTTCCTTCAAATCCTGGAGGATTAGCCATTACTATCTGCTAGAAAGATGGGCAAGTACTAGAACAAGGGCAAATTGGCCTTGACCATACTTTGCCATATATATTTTAGATAGATGAAATAGGTAAAATCTCAGTATGGATCAGCATTAATAAATTAATCTTTGCACTCAATTTTGATGATAAGGAAACACTAACTTTGAGCCCCATGTAAGCAAAATGTTATTCCCATATAATTTCATTCTTACCATAACTAGACTTGGGTCATAAAAATTTTACTCTGTTATCTTTATTATATTTTTTATTTCATCAATAAAAAATTTGTAGAAATTTGCTTTTGCTATACAAGTTCCTACATAATATCCTTCATTTTGCTTCTTGGCCTTCAAAATCTAAAATATTTACTATCTGGCCCTTTACAAAAAATGTACACCACTTCTGTACTATGGGTGAATTACAAACTGAAGAAATTTTGAAGCTATTTATGTCAGTATAGGGTTATAAAATTTAGGAGCTTAAACAGCAATTGGTCTGCTTTTTTGCAGATTTCTTAATGGCCAGGCATTCATCTAATGTTTATCAGTCTGTCATCACTGTTACCTGAGCTGCTATGTGGGGAGGCTCATAGCTGACATTTTTTTTTTAATTGTGGTAGAGTACACACACATAAAATTTACTGTCTTAACCATTTTTAAGCAAATGGTTCAGTAGTGTTTACTGTCTTAACCATTTTTAAGCAAATAGTTCAGTAGTTACATCTACCTTCTTGTGCAGTCAACCTCCAGAACACTTTTCATCTTGGAAAACTAAAACTCTGTATCTGTTATTTAATAACAACTCTCCATTCCTCCTTCCCCTCCAGGCATTGGCAACCACCATTCTATTTTCTGTCTCTATGAATTTGACTACTCTAGGTACTTCATATAAGGGAATCATATGGTATTTGTCTTTTTGTGACCCGTTTATTTGACTTAAAGTATAATGTCCCCAACTTCATCCACATTGTAGCACATGTCAGAATTTCCTTCCTTTTTAAGGCTGAATGATATTCCATTGTATGGATAGACCACATTTTGTTTATCCATTCATCTATTAAGGAACACTTGGGTTGCTTCTACCTTTTGGCTATTGTGAATAATGCTGCTATAAACATAGTCCCTTCGAGACTCTGCTTTCATTTCTTTTGGGTATATATCCAGAAATGAGATTGCTGAATCATTTGGTAATTCTAAGTTTTTGAAGGATTGTCATGCTTTTTTCCGTAGCAACTGCACCATTTTACATTCCCACCAGTTATGATGAGAGTTCTAAATACTCCGTATCCTTGCAAACACTTATTTTCTGGTTTTGATAGTAGTCACCGTAATGGATGTAAAGTAGTGCCATGACTTCTTTTAGAAAAATTTTTAAAGAGATAATTTCAAACATATATAAAAAATAGAGATAATAGTATAGTAGACCCCTTCCCTCCATTTGTCCATGACCCAGCTTCCATTCTTATCAACTCATGGCCAAATGTGTTTCATCCATGTCCCCACTCCTATATTAATTGAAGCAAATCCAAGACATGATATATTTTATCTGTAAACATTTCAGTATTTTTCCTACAAGGATTCTTTTTTTAAAAAATATAACCATAGTACGATTATCATCCCTTAAAAAAATTGATAATTCCCAGTAAGTATTCAGATTTCCAGTTGTTTGATAAACATCATAAATTTTTTTATAGTTTGAGTCAAGATCCAAATAAGGTTCACACATTGTGATAGTGTTTTTAATTCTCTTTTTAAGTGAATGTTCTGTACCCTCCCATTCCTCCTCACCCCCAACCATGAAATTTATTCATCTTCAGTGAGGAAGAAACTTGCTTTTGTAGATTTTCTCACAATATGGGCTCTACTGATTGCATCTTCATGGTTTAGTTTAATGGATTCCTCTGTATTTCCTGTAAATTGTTAGCTGAATCTAGAAACTTGATCAAATTGTAGCTAGATTTTTGCGGGGGAGGCAGGAAAGACTACTTCATAGGTGGTAGATGGTTTTTCCATCCGAAGGTACATAATGTCTCGTATCTCTCTAATGACTTTTTAAAAAACATCTGCTATTGTTCACATGGCAATTTTAGCAATGGACTTAATGCTTTGGTTTCAAAATCCAAAGGGGAATTCAATATGTGAGAAGCAGTCAACAATTAAAATTAAAGGAAAATACATTTTCTCCATGAAGCTGGTTTATAACTTTTGGCAATTCTTCATCAGGTGATGAATGCAGTATTGGTTCAGCCACAGACTTAACTGAAAGTAGCTCCATGGTGGATGGAGACTGGACAATGGTGGATGAAAATTTCTCCACACTCAGTTTAACTCAGTCAGAGCTAGAGCACATCTCCATGGAGTTGGCGAGTAAAGGGCCTCATAAATCCCAGGTCCAGCTTCGGTGAGTTTCTCAGCTATTTGAAAGCACAGAATGCCTACTCTGGGTATCTGTACAAACAGACTTACAGGGGCTACTTCCTAATATTCATTGCCCTTCTTGACATCTTTTTGTTTCTCCCTAAATCATTTTGTTTCTGCTTACATATAGGTATTTGCTACACATTTTCATGGAGGCAGGATGCCTGGACTGGTGCATTGTTATAGGCCTGATTCTCAGAGAATCTTCAATAATCAATCAGATTTTGGTTATTATACAATCTTCAGAGATAGATGGAGAGATGTTACAGAACATAAAGACAGGGCTACATGCGGTGGACCGATGGGCCTCTACAGATTGGTAAGTCCTGGTTTCCTTAGGCTTGTGTCCTCGGGTGAATCCTGTCCTTGTGCATTAAGGCTTAGTTATGGTTCATTTATTTTGGATATTTTTAGGTTAGTAGAAATAAAAATGCTTTCCTGCATTCATTTTTAAGGATACTTCTTTAGTAACGATTCTATGCCTAACTATTTAAGTGAGTACTATCCACTGAGTAAAGTTAGAGCATTGGTCAGTTCATAATGTGAATGCATGTCACTGATTTAAAATTGATGCAGTACAAATGGACTTAAAATTAGACTGAGAACGTAAGATTTTTAGTCCTGTGGGATTGAAAGTTATAACCTAAAAATGTCTACTTGAAAAGAAAAGATACAAAGTTAAGGTCTATGTGAATTTAACATTCCATGGCAGTTACTAGAAAATCCAAATTAAGAGTTGTGCATGGAAGTTAAGAGCCTTGGATTCTAGCCCTGTCTTTATTACCAGTTATGTGTGGATTTGGGGCTAGTTACTTGCCTTAATTGGATCTGGTTTTCCTTAATTGCCAAGTGCATGTAGGTTAAATGTCTGAAGGTTGTTTTTCAAGTCTAAAATCCTATTGGTCTTTCGATTGTAAGATATAATATTTTGTTGTAATACTGCTTTTAAAATGTCAGTCTTTGCTTCTAGTGCTCAGAAATTTAAGGCTCAGGCATTCTATGCACAGCTCCCTCTTTGCTGGGCAGGGCACCCAAGGCTTTCCTTCCAACCTCCTTACTTCCTCCCCCTATAATCTCTCATTGCTCTTACCATATCAGTGTTAAATAGTTTATCCATAACATAGTCTACCAAGCCTTTTGAATCATGGCAGACTAGAGCTAATATTTTTTCCTTTACTTAGCCCTGGATATAAGCCATTCTTAAACATCATTAAGCCACAACTGCAGAAGCTCAGTGAAGTAACAGAAGAGCAGGTCCAACCTGATGCCTTCCAGCCAGTAACTATGGGTAAGACTCCTGAACAGACTAGCCCCAGGACAGAGGAGAGCAGGGGCTCCTCCAGCCATGGAGGCATCCCCCAGGGCGAGGTCAGGGTTAACAGTATGGTCAGCCGGAAAGAGGAGGACACAGCCCAAGCAGAGGAGGAGGAACCTTTTCAGGATGGGACTTACGACTGTTCTGTGTCCTAACAACACTGAAGTACCATCACGATGGGCAGTATTAATTAGCAGCAGTGTGCAACAGAGTACACTGCGACTTAGTTGGATAATTTAATGGGGGAGAGAATTCAGCTCAGAGACTCTTTGGTCAAGTATTATTAGATTTTAACTAATTCTTTCTCCTCCAAGAAATCTCTTTGACGCCATAAAAATGTGATATTGAATAAAGCAACTTTTATAAAAAATATTTTTAAGCTGCAGTAGAAAGTAATAAAGAATATTGTACAGATGTACATGAGAATATTTTGGTTTTATTAAAAGATTGGTAGCTCTTAAAACCATAGGGATTGTTTTGCCCCAGGTGAGCTTTCTTTTTCACTAGAGCTTCTTAACGTGTTTTCTGGTTCAGTGTGTGTCCAGACAGCTTTTCAAAAAATAAATGCTAAGGTGCTTGCTGTAGCTTATCAGGTACTTGAGCTACCTGTTTGCTCTTTTGAATAGAGCTCGCTGGACTCTGATTGGTCCTCCTGAGTAGATGCCTACACTGACATAATAGGTGCCAGTGTGATGGAGACATTGTCCTTGGCTCTACCAGCCTGTTAAATCCCAGTCCTGAATTGATGGAAGCAATTTACCTGTGAGTTAATGTACCTGTTTAGCAAGCTTGATTCCTACTAGATCAGTGTGGGCAGATGTCTGATGGGTTCTCATCAATTATGCTGTTAGATACCACTAAACTATTTTGTATCAAAGAACTGTATCTTTTTGTGAATACTCTTATGTAAATATACTCAAAGGCACTGTTCATATTTTTAGGGCTTGTATTATAATTTGTAAGGTTTTATGCTGGATTCTGCATGACTATAGATAACAGAAACAGGACTTGCTCTTCTTTCCAAAAATGAGCAGTCTTTATAAGGGAAGGCAGGTTTATCAGCGTGGTCATAAAGTAACAGCAATGGTCACAGTGATCATGAAGGAAGTGGAATAGGTTTTGTGCAAATTAATGTAGTTTCTTATTTATTGCTTTTGTAAATTGAATAAAAATGGACTTTTATATAAATAGACTGCTGAATTCTGTATTATCACGGCTACTAAAAATGAGTGTGTAAAGAATGCATTCTTCATTGTAAACTTTTAAAATAATTTATGTATTTCTAGATATGACTTAGTTTTCATACATTATGAAAATAGAACTGCATACTCCTTAATTGCTTTGGACTAAACACATGTCCACTGTATGTAATTCTAATTACCTTATAACAGTATTAATTTAGATAGCTTGTTTTTACTGTGCAATTTGAACAAGGAATGCAATGTTATTTTTTACAAAACAAACTTGTTTATTTTTATAATAACAGTGTATTTGATGTGGACCAAATTCGTACCACTATGTACAATAGGCTCTCTTCTCATAGTGCAATTATAGTTTGGAAACAAAACATGGTCCTCTATCCTTGCTTTTTAAAGTAAACGGCTAGATTTAGTTGTCTTAGCCAGGTTTCCTTTGAAGGGAAACTCAGTACCATTTTGAAATAGCTTAGTTCAGAATTCATCAAACTATCTAAAATTATTGAGTTGGGTAATTTACTATCATTTACTTTTTACATTACAAGTGCAATAATTTTACATAATAAAACTCCTAAATGGGTGACGTATGTGATTATCAGTATCTAGTCCTTCTGGTGCTATTTTTATTTAAGACTTTGTTTTAAACCACCCGTCCCTGAATCTTAAGATCATGTTTTGCATGTGAGTACATGCAGCCCAGCAAGAAACTAAACTGAACTTTCTTCTCCTGTCCTAGTCCATTAGGGAGAAGAACCAGCATTACTTTTGTGTTTGGTGTGAATATTCAATCAATAAAAATGATGTACCATTATAAAGAGCTGTGATCTTTTCAGATATCTTAAGTAAAACACTATGCTGATGAGTTCATCTCACATTCTTGAAAGCAGGGTACCAATAAGTTAACTGTATTCCTGTGGTGTTTAGGCCATGAATGAATGAATGAATCTTTTCTTCCATAAAGTTTTTGTTTTTCAACTAACAGAAATAGAAGGCTCCAAGGCAAGAAATTTGGCAAGTTTACAGAAAATTTCTCTTTGGTAATTCATTTTTATTTTTTATAAACTTTAATTTTTAAAACCCCATTTTTATTTTGCCATGTTCTTTGGTTCACATATCAACTGTTTAAGCCATAATTTTAACCAATGATTGAAATATTCAGTATAACTATTTCAAGTTTACTAGATACATTGAAATTATTTGCTGATACCAAAACAAGAAGTCATTGAACATGGGTGGAAGTCAACCTTTGCTTGTAATTAAAGTTGCTGCTACTTCTGTAATGTGTATTTTTTTTTAACTTGGTAAAGGGCAATAAAACCATTATACAAACTTTTGTTTATTGATCATCTCAGGTTAACAGCAAAAAGTATGTGTAGTAAAAGCCATAGAAACATTCTTTTCATTGTAATTCCACCTCTTAGAATTTCCTTACGAAATAAGTAGAAATACAAATTTATTTAAAATCTTTATTTATATGTAGATTTAGGATGGGAACATCAAGAGTCGGCAGCATCTGAGATGCCTGAAAATAGAATATTGGAAGAAACAATACATGTTGATGACATGGAAAATGTTCATGATATAATGAAGAAATTACAGAAAATTATGTACACCATATTGTATTCACCAAACAAAAAGTGTATTAGGAGACTAGGCATCATTTTTTAATAAGTGGTATTAAAAATGATGTGACTTTTCCTATATTCCTAAATATGCAGTCTCCATGGATTTTCCTGTTCTGGACATTCTGTATAAATGGAAACACACATGGACTTTTCTGTCTTCTTTTATTTGGCATGATGTTTTTAAGGTTTATCCTTGAATAGCACTACTTCCTTCCTTTGAGGTTGAGTAATATTCCGTTATGTGGATAATACTACATTTGTTTATCCATTGAGTAGTTGAAGGTCATTTGGGTTTTTTCCCACTTTTTTGCTATTTTGAATATCACTGCTGTTAACATTAATGCACACGTTTCTCTGTGTGGACAATATGTTTTCAGATTTCTCTAGGAGTACAACTACTGGGTCATAGGGTAACTGGTTAATTTTTTCAGGAAATGCCAAACCACATTCCAAAGCACCTGAACTATTTTACATTACCACTAGTGGTAGATGTGAAGGTTCCAGTTTCTACCACCAAAACATGTTATTGTCTTTTTGGTTGTAGCCACCCAAGTTGTGTATGAAGTGGAATCTCATTAATGGCTCATGTACATCTTTGAAGAAAAATGTCTATCACATCCTTGCCTGTTTTTCAATTAAGTCATTTATCTTTTTGTTGATTTGTAAGAGTTCTTTGTATATTCTGGATGGTAGACCCTTATCAGGTATACGATTTGCAAATATTTCCTTATTCTGTGGGCTTGTCTTTTCACTTTCTTGATAGTGTCCTTTGAAACACCAAAATTTTTCATTTTGATTAAGTCCAATTTATTTTTTCTTTGGTTGCTTGTGCTTTTGGCGTCATAGCTAAGAAACCACTGCCTAATCCAAGTCATGAATATTTATGCCTAAGTTTTCTTCTAAGAGTTTTATAGTTTTAGCTCCCACATTTAATCTTTGATGCATTTTAAGTTAATTTTTGTGTACAGTATGAAGTAGGGGTCTAACTTTGTTCTTTCGTCTATGGATATTCAATTGAGCACCATTTATTGAAAACTTTTTTTCCATTGAATTGTTGAAAATCAATTCACTATAGGTAGATAGGTTTATTTCTGGACTCTCAAGTATTACAATGATTTATTGTCTGTCTTTATGCCAGTATTACACTGTCGATTACTGTTGCTTTGTAGGAAACTTTGAAAGTGTGAGCCTTTAGTTTGTTTTTCAAGGCTGTTTTGGCTATTCTGGGTGCCTTGCATTTCCATATGATTTTTAGGACTGGCTTGTCAATCTCTGCACAAAAGAAAAAGCAGGTGGGATTTTGATAGGGATTGTATTCAAATATAAATCAATTTGGAGAATATTGCCATCGTAATATTAAGCCTTCCAATCCATGAACAGGAAATGTCTTTCCACTTATTTAGGTCATCTTTAATGTCTTTTAGCAATATTTTATCATGTCTTGTACTTGTCATGTCTTGTATGTGAAACTTATCCCTAAGTATTTTATTCTTCTGATGCTACTGTAAATGGAATTCTTAATTTCATTTTTGGATTGTTCTTTGTGTTTAGAAATAGTTGACTTCTGTATATTGACGTTGGATCATGCAACACTACTGAACTCGGGTTTTTTTGTGGATTCCTGACAAGATTTTTCTATGTAGATCATGTTATTTGCAACTAGAGAGAGTTTAAGCTCTTTCCAATCTGGATGCTTCTTATTTGTTTTGCTAAACTGCCCTCGCTAGAGCCACCAGTACAATGTTGAGTAACAGTAGCAACTGTGGACATTCTTGTCTTCTTCCTCATGTTATTGGGAAAGCTTTTGGCCTTTCATTACTAAGTATGATGTTAGCTGTTGGCTTTTCACAGATAACCTTTATCTGGCTGAGGAAATTCCTCTTTATAGAATTTGAGTGTTTTTATGATGGAAGGGTTTTGGATTTTGTCAAAAAAAAATTTTTTTTGCATCTGTTGAGATAGTCATGTGGTTTTTATCCTTCATTCTGTTAATATGGTGGTGCATTGTATGGCTTTTCAAAGGTTAAACCAACCTTTCATTCCTGGGATAAATCCCACTTGGTCATGATGTAGGGCCAAATTGGAGAAAAGAAATTGTCAACATGCTGTATTTTTACAACTCAACTATGGAAGTAGTGGTGTCAAAAAATACACTGATGTACTCCAAAATTTCATAAGTATTTCAGCTGAAAAGTTTAAGAGGCATAACTGCATCTTGGCTTTACTGGCCCTAAAAGAGGAGGGAGGAGTATTAGGAATAGAATTTGTTCAGCTGTTTTACCTTGTAGTGAACTGTTCTAAGCAAATTCACTCAGAAAGCTAAATAACTTGCACAGATCTTTGAACTCAAAAGTGCCTGCTCTATTTTGGTGAGTGGCAGTACCTTTTCCTTCTGTGGCGATTAGAATAAGCAGTGGGACACTGCTCTGGCTGAAAGGCAATTTCTTCTCTCCCTCCCACCCTTACTCCACAGTAAAAAAAAAAATGCCCTTCATTAGTCCTTTGGTGACTTTTTTTTTTTTCCCAGTGGAGATGTTTTAAAACCCCTAAATATGCTGAAGCTCAACATTTACCAAATAATAGGCCACTAATTTCTATGAAATTCAGCTGCACCATTTCATTCCAAGGTTAAAAAAAGGATTCCAACTGAAGTTAAACTAACATCAAAATAGCCATTATGCCCACATGAGCCATCATAGGTTTTTTAACAGCAATTAAAAGGCTTTGTGGACATGAAATAACCCTTGAAATATGGGGGATATGGGAGAACATAGACCTATTTTTCTGTTAAAAAGATATCATCAACCAGTATGTTAAAAAGTTTATTTCAGTAACATTGTAAGGCCACAATTAATCCTCAACACGTCAGTAAACCAGTGAAAGGAAAGGGACGGACACAATCATTCTTCCTACAGCTTCCTGAGTCAGCAGGCTGGCTTGTGGCCCCTTGGTGTTGCATCTTAAGGAATCCTATCATGCTTATTTATATCTGTTAAATTGTGGCAACAGACACTTCATGTGACAATCATTCTTAGGTCAAACACAAGAACAAAGTACTTTGAAATCACAATTCTTCACACTTTCCCTGAATACGCAGTACTGTGCTTGCTACTTAAATTCTGTAGAAAATAATGCATTTGTTTCAGCCTGAAAAGACCTTTTTAGAAATGAGTTATTCAAATGATCAGATATCCTTTTCTAAAAAGAACTGATATGACAGACTATGTGCTTATTAATAGAGCCACGAATACTGTGTGTAATTATTTGACCATTTCTGGCATAAACACAACTTCCCAGAATATTGAGCATGCCCTGAAAGCTAGCAGGCGTCTTGTTTCTGACCTTGTACAACATCAAAGCTTCATAATGCTAAGAAAACCAAAAGAGAATGGTTTGCGTAAGGAAATGAGGAAATAACCCAAGGGCAAAAGGAAAACGATGATTACTACTGAAAAGGAGTAACAGCATCCTTCCTGAAAGGGGGGGGGGGGATCACAGGGAACAATGTGTTTTTTATATGTCTCCAACATGGGATTTTGCTGCTTTTTCTATAATTTCTAGTACTCTATTTCAGATTAAACACTGGGACAGAAAACACACCTGTATTTTAAAATTCATTGAGAAATTACTACTGTTAACTTTTTCTCCACAACTGTGATTCTATACAAGACATAAACCCTGCATACCTTATGTACTACCTGACAGATAAATGTAGCAGGAGCCAGACACTTGAAGCAGATAACAAAGTCCAGGAAAAGCAACGACTCCAATGTGCACTGTCGATGCACGTGACAGCCCTGCTGTCTGCATGGGCCCAGTTAGTTTTTAGGGAATCACAAATTAGGCAGGCAATATGAGGAGCATGATTAAGAAAGCACATCATACACATTGCACAAGCAACTTCAAGAAAGTTCCCTCCTGTGATACAGACTGTGCTCCTTCTGTTCAGACAGATCCAAGGGCCACTTTTCAAGAAACATTCCTCATTCCATCACTCGAGAAGTCTAGCTAACTTTTTTTTTTACTATTGCTTTTCTTTCACCTGTTTTTTGGCTATGCTTGTTAAACTCAATTCGTTGAACTTTTTACATTTCCTAATGGAACAAAAAAAGCTTAGCATAGTTTACTGCTGGTTTCACCAAACCCTCGCACTGCTGGAACCAAGAAGCCACATGAGGTGCTGCTATAGTACAACTCACAAGCTACATGGCCATCTTCAAAGTGAAAACCACATTTAAGTCCTAGTGCTGCTATTATGCAGGATCTGAACACCATCTCATTCCAGTACAAGCCACCACCTCAACTCAGGAATGCCAGCCCCTCTGGACCAGTAAGTTACCAAGAAACTATTCAACTGGATGGAAACAAACAAAAAGGAGGAGGACCCAGTGCATCAATAAAATTATAAAGGATTAACCTTGTATGAATAAAGCAAAGAGAATAAATATTTACTACTCCCAACCCTCCTTAATCCCAGAATAGCCAAAGTGGCAACTCAGTGCTCTGAGGAAGGAAGTTAAGGCCATATACTTGCACAAACAATATTCTGAACCAAAAGAACCTATGAAAGCCCAGTAGGAAATGTGGCCAAATAGTCCCCTTTTCAAATTGGGAGAGTGGAGACGTGGAACAGCCAAGTTTCAGAGAACAGGCACTGAAAAACCACCTCAGGAAAGCAGCACAGCAATGGATCTCAGTGACCACTTGTCAGGACAGTGACTCACCGGCTCAGCACAGGGTCCACGTCAGGGGCCCAGGCTTCAGCACAGAGACACAAGCACACTCCAGAGGCTGCCTGAAGCTCTCAGCAGAGTCCCAAAGCTTCTTCCTCAATCTTTGTGGCAGTCATTTGCCAATGACCTACACAGAGGTAGATCTCAAGGGGAATCATTACCCTGATGAACAGTATTTTCCTCACCATCCACTGACACAACAAGATGGTTTTGCTCATTAACAATGCTCTGACAGTTGACATCTTTCATGATCCTAGAGGGATAGCTATTGAAGTGGTTTGTTGGCTTTTGTCCCTAAAATCACATAAAATGACTTATGTGTGTAGTGGCAGTACCCACATGTGCTTAAGTGCCAGAAAACTGGCATTTTCAAGTGTCAAAAGGCCATGCATCACTGTCCCACAGCTTAACCCTAATAGTGCTTGGCCCTGAAGAGTGCTGACCCAAAAACCTCTTTGAACATATGCTCATTAAAATTCATGGACTTACATTACAAACATCCACGTAACGTAAGGAGAAACTGTGTCACATGGAGGATCCAATGGGTATGTACTTAGAGCTCATCCACGAGATTAAAACACAAAGAGATTGTAGGTGCACACCCAAGCAGAGGGAAATGTCCAATCTGGGAACTTCTCCTTCAGAGCATCCAGCTGGGAGGATCTCTTGTCGTCCCCAGAGAGATAGTGCGCAGCAATGGCCACAGTGACCATTCCTTCAGGATGTTCTTCTGAGACCTGCCAGAGAGAATCAGTTAGTTCTCTAGTTCTGAAGTCAGAAGACTGAACCCAAGGTTCTTGCTAAATACCACCTGGGAACCTGATCAATGAGGTGAGCAATGCTGGGAAATGCACACCTGTACTTCTATCCAGAACTGCCATGCAGAGGCCTGGAGTCCATGGGAGTAAAATACAAAGTAGTCCCCTCCTTTACTTGTGACTGGAGTGCCATTGCCAAGAGACCACTGAGAAAGTGTTGACCCTTTGTGGGCTCGAACATAGAATGACATATGGCTTGGTCCTGTAAGATAAGAGGAAGAAAGAACAGTTAAATCAATCTTTTAATATGCATCAACAGAAAACAGCCATTAACCCACCACCCAAACCATACTATGAAGGTTCATGGCTTGTATCACTTTTAAATATACTCACTATAAACCTAATGGAGGTTCACCAGTTTGGACATCCACTGGGTATCAAGGTTAAGTAATGAAGCATAGCAGAAAAGGCAAAGAGTCTAAATGAGAAAGCCTGTGTTAAGTCGTGGGCCTATCACTCGATTGCTACATGACATTAGGAACTTATTTAATCTCTTCTGGGGGATGATTAGAAGCAGCATGTGAAAGTGTTGGGAAAACTGCAACATGCTATAACAGTACTGAATAGGATCAGTAGTAATATTATGAATAGAGTTGTAATTTTCAGACAGTTGATATGTAACCCCTAAAATATTTTTTACTAGTTTTTCCCTTTAAGCAGGAAGATGAAACATCAGCTCAGTTCTGACAATTTAATCATCGCCATGGACTTCCAAGGAAACTGACAACAGTGGCAGTCAAACCAAAATTAGAATAAGGAGCCGGTAACAGAGGCTCACACCTATAGCCAGAACTACTCGGGAGGCTGAGGCAGGAAGGCTGCTTGAGGCCAGGAGTTCAAGAACAGCCTGAGCAACACAGTGAGACCCCCGTCTCTAAAAAATTAAATAAATAAAAAATAAAATTAAATAAAACTATACAAAAACCACATTCTCAGCCTAACTTGAAGACAAAACATACCCAAATGTCAAACAACTACAAATTTAAAAATCTCAGGAAACAATCTCCCATGCTTGTGCCCACCCTGCTCATGCTGCAGGGCTTTGTGGCAATCCAAGTAAATCCACTCTGAATCTGAAAATACTACGATAGTGTCCAGTTAGAACGAGATTTACATGGAAGGGACTTAAAAGTGCACACTGCTGGAGGTGTCAGTCTTCAAAAGAAGCTTCTAGGGACAAAGGAAGGAAGGAAGGGGGGGCATCCTTTGGCATTTGGGTGGTGAAGATGAAAAAAGCAAAAGGGGAAAACTTAAGGGTCCTGAAAGACAAAAGCAAAACAAAAAAAATGTGAAGATATGTAATTTACTCACATTGAAGTAAATATTAAAGAATCTAGAGTTTGTTATACTGACAGAAAAGCAAGCCATTGGCTGGGAATCTTAAAATACCCAATCCCACAAAAATGAGGAAAAAAAGGACAGAAAGATCCATACAGTTATAAAAACATCAGAAAATGAGAACCAAAACATCTCAACTTAAGAAAATTCGGCAGGGGGCGTAGGTAGGGACCATGAAACAGAAGAAAACTCTAAGGCAACACTCCAAACTAAATTAAATGCACTCCCACAAACATTGGAAGATACAAAAATCCGCACCATGAATCAGAAATTCTAAATCTTAAAGTAGACAAACTACCAGGAGTGATTAAAACGACTGATTGAACTCAGGAAAGAAACAGAAGGAAAAGGCAAAATTAGCTTAGAAAATGAAGGCTAAATTATAAGATGCCCAAGGCAGAATAGATTCAAATGAAAATTTAACAATGGGTATTAAAGAGAAGCAGGGAAAACAAAAATGAGAAAAAGAACTTAATAAAAAGGTCAGAGAGTGATAAAAATGGAAGGCAGGTCAAAAAAATAACATTCACTTAATTTGTATCCCAGAAGAAGAAAAACAAAACGATGGAATAGAACTAATATTTAAAATTGTAATCCAAGAAAACCTTCCAGAAACAAAAGCAGACCTGAATCTACACATTGAAAGGGCCTACTGGACACCTGAGAACGGCGGTCCCCAACCTTGTTGGTACCAGTGAGGGGGATGCAAGCGATGGTGAGTGCTGTAAATACAGATGAAGCTCCACCTGCACTGCTCACCTCCTGTGCAACCTGGTTCCTAACTTTTCATGGATGATAATTTTTCCATGTACAGGGGTGGGGGGAGGCACAGAACTCAGGTGGTGACGTGGTCCAGGGGTTGGGGACCCCAGCCTTAGAAGATCAACCAAGAATAAACAACTTCAAGAAATAATCTAGTAAAACTATTAGATTTCAAAGAAAAAATATCTCAAGTACGTCATGGGGCAAAAGAATTAACACTGGTATCAGACTATGCAAAAACAATATATAAAACAAGTAACAATGGAACAGTGATTTCTGAAAAACTCATTATTGGAAAATGTGAACCAAAGATTTTGTGCCCACCAGCTTGTCCTTCAAGTGTCAAGGTTATAGAAAACCAGTTTTAAACATACAGGAACATGGCACTCACATAAGCCCTTCTTCAGAAGTCTAGAGCTACAGTCCCCAACTCCTGGGCCACAGACTGGTACCAGTCCGTGACCTGTTAGGAACTGGGCCGCATAACAAGAAGTGAGCGAAAGAAGCTTCATCTGTATTTGCAACCGCTCCCCATCACTCACATCACCACACAAGCTCCGCCTGTCAGATCAGCAGCGGCATTAGATTCTCATAGGAGCACAAACCCTACTATAAACTGCACACGCGAGGGATCGAGGTTTGCCCTCCTTATGAGAATCTAATGCCTGATGAGCTGAGGTGGTGATGCTAGTGCTGGGGAGTGGCTGCTAATACAGATTATCATTAGCAGAGAGGTTTGACTCCACAATAAATATAATGCGCTTGAATCATTCCGAAACCATCCCCTCCAACCATGGAAAAATTGTCTTACATGAAACCACTCCCCAGTGCCAAAAAGGTTGGGGACCTCTGGTCTAGGATAAGCTTCATCCAACCAAGAAATAACTGCAAAATCTTCAGCAAAAGAACTTGTTATAGTGAAGATTTTAATATACGAATTACTGAAACAAATTTTGTGGTGAGGATGGAAGACAAATGTACAAATATTACATGTTGTAACAAAAGTTGGGAGGAAATGAGAAAGGAAAAATGGAAAGTAGAATAAGCAAACAGTTGTATAGGCTAATTGGTGCAAGTTAAAAGAATACCATTTAAAACCTAACAGTAAAAAGTTAAACAGGAGATTAAAACAAATATAAACATTCATAAATGCCAGAAAATAAATCTTTTAAAGAAGAAGAAATGTCACAGAAAAATG